GGTTTTGGCAAAACCTGCAAAGTGTCTTAAGAGTAGATAATCAAGTGATGTACAACAAGACCTATTCAAAATACTTCACCACCAAGTGAAGAAGGTCTTGTTTTAAAACTATTGATTTATGCATCATTGCTTGCTTGGTTCTTTTAAACCTTCTCTCGTTTGCCTGAGACTTATAAACAAAGAAACTACACAACTTAACTGTTATGTGCTGCATATTATCAAATAAAGCCTTTTTTTCAAAATGTGTTCCATTTGCTTAGGCTGCTGCCCCCGCGACCCGGCCCCGGATAAAGCGGATGAAGATGGATGGATGGATGGATGGTGTTCCATTGTGTAGATGTAAATTTTGGCAGGCTACCATCTGGTTTTTGTATAAGAAAAAAAATATTTTATGGGTTGCAAGTTGAACTTATTCACAGCCTACTCTTTCATTTGGGTTTTTACTGACATTTTAGGACTTAGTAATTACTGTTTAGGGGGGGGAAAAAACAACAACAAAAATACAAATTCTTGAAGCCAGGGAATCTGCTACACCACGTTTGGTTAGTACCTACTTTGTCCATACGGTGTCACCACTGATTCAGTTTTAATGGGAGTGCTGTTTGCAAATAAACCCTCAAGTCATTGTTCCACTAACTGTCAGCTACATTTATTTTCCTTACAAGATCAAACAACTCGAGGCGCTGTAGTGATGCAGACACCTTTTGTAGAGTTCGGAGAAAATCAATAAACGACGTTAATTAAGCTAATGGCACACAGCTGTTGCTAAAGGCCACTAGATTTGAATGAATGTTCTGAGGTGTTTGTTTGTTTTGTTTTTTTTTACTTGCGCTATGGTTTCGGGATATCAGCGTTTGTTTTCAAGACTATATATAAGATTAAAAAATGTTCACTTTTTCTTTTTTATCTCTTGTATCGAAGCAGCCTTGACGTGACGTCAGAGGCTCATTTGCATACGGCATTGTATTTATTGTGTGATTGAGGCTGACGTTAGCACTCTGCTCCTGCAACAACCGGACCCGCATCCTGTGATTTCTGTGAGTCGTGCTCTTGTAAGTAAGTTCCTTTTTTTTTCTCTTTCTTCTTAAAGTTACCGGCGCTTAAATTTAGCTTGACGTGCACTTATTTCTTCTGGTTTCAGTGTTTTGGCTCAATGACTACATCATGACGTTTAACAAAGTAAAAGTGTAAATGACCGAAGCTGTGGAATTTATGGGCATAACTTTACTGCGTTGTGGGGGTTTTAAATTTTAAACACGAATTTGTAGAACGCCTGTTAAAACTAAAGTACATTGTGGAGTGCATTCGGCGTAGCAGCATCCGTACTTGAAAGTGTTGTGTGCATCGAGATCGCTTAATAGCGACTGAGTCGGGGGGGACGGTATTCAAATTCTCAACGCCTTGAAATGTAACTGTCTGACTACACATGCTCGGGTGTGCTGATTAGCCTAATAAGAAGGGTCTCTTTGTTTTAGAACTTTCTGCAAACATGTCTGACAAGCCTGACGTCACTGAGGTTACAACCTTTGACAAGACCAAGCTGAAGAAGACCGAGACTCAAGAGAAAAACCCACTGCCAACCAAAGAAGGTAGGTACTACACCGTCTGACTTTAATCCAGAGCGTGTGTCTGCTATGCTGTAACTCTGAGACCCTAACCTTCTACCTCCTGTTGCAGTCATCGAACAGGAGAAGGCAGAGTCATCATGAAGACCAGGCCTCCTACGTGCTGTACATTTGACAAGCTTTGTCTCTATCAAGATGCATTTCAAGTTTCATAACCTACTTGAGAAATGGCTGTACAACTCACACTATTCACTTGGCTTGATGACCCTCTGTGCAGTGTGGCTTTGTCACCTTTAGGACCTGGTCATCTGTTTGCATCGTGTGGCATCAATGAGCAGGGGGGAAACAACTGACAAATCTGCACTTGGCAATTTGTAGCCCTACTCCAGTCACCTGTAATGCTCACAAGCAAGCTGTTGTAAAACCTGAAATGCGCAAGATTTGTTTAATATGCACAATAAAAAAAAAAAAAATGTAAATTTCACCTGCATGTGATGTTTTTTGTTTTTTTGGGGGGGGGGGTTTGGGCATAACCTTTGCTCAGCCTTGGGAGCTAACATTGAATGCCCTTTTATCCTGAGCAGGTTTGACTGGATGGAAGCTCTCTATAGGTGTTT